CAGCAGCCCAGGTATCATTAGCAACTTCTCACACTCTTAAAAAACACCATAAAAATAATGTTTTGCCCAACATTCTTGGCTGCACACATTCTTGGCTCATGCTGCAGAGTCAACATTAACAGATGCATTACACTGTGTACTGACAAAAAGCAGAAACCAGGTTTTTGTCTCAGTAAATGAGGTTACATCATTAGTAATCAAAACAGACAGAGGCTCAACTATGCTGCTGCATTGCATTGGATGTTTCATGGTACAGCTTGAGTCAGAGAACAGGTGATTCAAACATAGAATAAATTATTGTATTTTGGGAAAGATGGAGAGAAAGAAAAGGAGAGTTTAGTGTCATAGATATAATCTCTTCTGTGCAATTTGCCTTCATGGTCAGAAGTTAATGTTTCAGCTTCACCTGCAGACAAGGTTAGACTTTTGTCTACGCACAATTAGTGAGGATTTAGATGAACTGTTTTGCTCCCTGAGGGGTGGGAATGGCAATAACTATATCACATGTCATCAGAGAACTAGGTAAGAACACCTTCAACTGTACTAATCATACTTTATTGTATACATCTTTCCACAACTACAGGTTTTCACTTCTAAGAAAAGGGTTCCTAACCACATTCTACTATAAAAGAATTAAATAAATTCCTATGTATATTTGCATATCCATGCATATATGTATGTGTAGTCTACATTCATGCACTAATAGATGCTGTGGGGCACCCAGCCAGAAAGCAGCTTGGCAGAACAAGAGCCAGCCCTGTGCCCTTGCCTCAGAAGGCAGGTGATATCTGGAGCTGCATTACACAAAGTATTGTCAGTAAGTCAAGGAGAATGATTCTTCCCCTAGAGTGAGCACTGGAGAGGCCAAATGAGGAGAGCTGTGTCCAATGTTACACTCCTCAGTACAAGAGAGACATACAATGAAGGCTCACAAAGATGATGAAGGCACTGGAGCACTTCTCCTATAAAGGAATGCTGAGAGAGCTGGGTCAGCTTATCCCAGAAAAGAGGAGCCTTTGAGAAATCTTATTAATGTAAGAATCATAAATACCTGAAGAGAAGGTGCATAAAGGAGAGATGCAGACTTTTTTCAGTGGTGCCCGGAGGATGAGAGTCAATGGGCACAAATTGAAACACAGGAGGCTTCCTCTGAACATCAGGAAACACTTTAGTACTGTTAGGGTGACTGAGCACTGGCAGAATCCTTGGAATTATTTAAAACTGTTTGGACAGAGTGCTGTGCAAATGGCTCTAGGTTTTCTCTGCTTGAGCAGAAGTTTTGGAACAGAGGTTATTCAGAGGTTCCTTCCACCCTCAGGCATTCTGTCTTTTGATTCTGTGATTGTGTATATGTTTATCACATAATGTAAAAAAATACACACACACACCCCTTTAAATACATTATCTGTACTGTTTCTGTATTGTTTTACATGTACTAATTTTGTTAGGGTTTTTTAACATTAATGGGTTTTATTTAAAATGCATTCAAAAATTGAAAATTGAGGACAACAGTGGCACCATTCAGGCACAAAAGTAACTTCTTATACTTTTTTGAAGAACTGAAAAAAGGTCCACTTAAATACAGTTTTTGCTTGTTTCTTAATTGGCTTGTTAATTTACTCTCTGTAAAAAATGCTATAAAAAGTCACAGGAAAAATATTTTATAAGCTTGAATTAACAATTCAAAAAATGATCTAAAATACTTCAGCATTAATAAGGTATAAGGATGCCACCACATTTTTACTCTCCCCAAACCCCTTAAGAATAAAAATGAGCATAAATTATGTTTTCTGTACAGATGAACATTAAATATCTGGAACATCAATTGAAAAGTGTTCTTATTATATTATCTATTATATAATATTGCCTCTTACATATATTATTACCTATTATAACATGAAATAAGTCCTTATGTTGGGCAAGCCACCAGTCTTTCTTTTTTGACTTGAAGGAAGAGATAAGAACCATTTTAGTTTAGAAGATGGTTCCAAGAAAATCAAAGAAGCAAAAAAGTTTCTATGGCAACATTGCAGGTTCTATTATTTAATTTTCAGCTTCATGATAGTTTCCTTTTAACAAGTTAACACTGGCTTGCCTTCTCCTAAATTTATCTACTGGATTATGAATTACAATGTTTAATATTGTACTGCTTAAGTCTGACTACATTGCCAATACAATTACTGCACCTTGAGAGTGAAATGAGGTATCATGGAAACTCAGACTATAAATTTAAACCTTCATTTTAAGTAGATCTCAGTACAATCTTTCCAGTCTGTCAATAACTTCTGTAGTCTTTGACTTCCTCTTTTTAAAGTGAATTTAAAAGTAAGGAATGAAAGTAGTTGTTGTTTTTTTTCCCAAAGGTCCAATGATGAGCTGCTAATTTTGACCTGGCTTCTTTCCAGAGAAATCTTCAGTTAATTTTCAGTGCAATGAAAATGACAGAGGGTGTTATTTGATACATATTTAAGTATAAACCAAAACAGAGAAAAAAAAAAAAACAACAAACCCTTTTGGTAATAAAAAAGTAAAATTTCACTTTCAGTTCTCAATAATTTTTTGTTGAAATTCTGTTATGTCTTAATTCTAATTTTGAAAAAGACCTTACTCTTTTAGCATTGCAGTTGATATATTTATGATGCAGTTCTCAATTACAGAGCAGCACCAGTGTATAAGACTCAATTTCTAGATTAAATTGAACAGAAAGTTCAAGAGAATTGCTGGTATTTCACTGTAAAATATTTATTTCTAAATTTCTTCATAAAGAGTTCTTAAACCTTTTTCTTTTCATGTACCCAGCTCCCTAGTCACCTACCTCCTTGCTACATAAATGCAGCTCAGCAATAGCCAAAACGTGTTACCTGCACTGTGTAAGAGACTGAAATGGTTGATGGCTTAAACATTGCTAAAATCATTGGAGGACTTTTGCCCACTGTAGAAAACTGCAAAGATCCAGCTGTTCATCTGTGGCCATCAAAACCCACATCTCCCTAAATATGCCTACTAACTGGAATTTGGACTGTGAGGGGAACTTGAGATGAGATAAAGGGGGCACCCCAGAAGTGATGCTGGAAGAGAGATTGGAATGCTGATGGCTCAAACAATCAGGGACAAGCTGCTGATGTACAAAGTAACCTCCCAGGTGTAGTGGGAGAGCACACCTGACACCTCAGGCTACAGCCGGTGGTGAACCAGATAAGGACAGAGGCAAATCCTGGGAGGAGCACTGCTGCCTCTTTGTCCTTACTCAAGGGACTCAGCTGTGATAACTCCCTTTTGGGGAAGTACTGGGGCATTCACGTGTAGCCTGAAGGTATCAATTTCTGCTGATGAGCCATAATGGGTCTTAAGGGACTCAAATTCATTGATGTAATAGGCATCTGTACCTTAGAAGGTGTCAAAAACTCCAGAAGCGTCCCATGATCCACATTACCTCATCCAGCTGAAATTCCCCACTCCAAGAGAGGTACCTGGGCTTTCCTACCTGAACTGAATATAAACCAAATAGCTTTCCTGTGCTGTGGATTTCATTGGGATTTCCTCCATCACCTGGTGACCAAGTCTGAAGCTGTCACTTTGACCAAGATGGTGACCATCACTTCAACATCAAAGTTGCCCCAAACAAGTCTTGTCTTGAGACCTGTGGGTGGTAAGGTCTTTCTAATCTTATGCCTTCCTTCTCTTTCTTAAACATTTTCTTAAGTGATATTTCTATGCTTTTATATTGCAACTAGTTATATACCTATTTTTCTGTGCAATCACATTGTTCTACAATAAAGCCTACATGTGTGTGTTTAAAAACAACAGTTATTCAGAGTTGTTTCACTCCCCAAGGGATCTATTAACAGGATGGGTTACTCTCACCTTCTGTTTCATCAATAAGTGTAAAATACAGCACATTATCAGCTGTCATGAAGAAAGTTCACTCCAGCCAGGCCCAGTACACTAACTGAAAGGAGAACTGAGTGTATGGAATTATGGAAAAGAATTGCTACTTTGTTCTCTGGGAAAAGAAAAAAGAAAAAAAAAAAAAGGAACTGAAGCATGGAGATACAAATGACTGCCAATGGTCAGCTAGGTAACTAGGCTGCAGGCTGCTCACTCACTCAAATAAGGGCTTCTGCCAACACTGGATTTAGTGATCTGGTCTAGCTAATTCAGGAAAACCTTCAATGAAGAAGGTCACTTGGCCCTTGAAAAAACTGCTGCACTTGTTCACTGCATTCCAAGTGATTCCTCCCCAAGCTAATGTCCAACCTGAACTGTCCATGCTACAAGTTAGTTTGTCTCTTACACTTTAGGATGTGCTCAGGAATGTGGTTCCATGATCTTACCTTCAGGTCTTAAGCTGCTATTAGGTCATTGCTTAGCCTCCTTTTTGCTAGTTTGAACAAGCCCACTTCTGCTTCTTCTTTCTAGACATGCCATCTTGGTAGCCCACCCCTGAATCTTCTCCAATTTGTTCCTATGCCTTTCAAATCATGGGGTACAAATTTGGAAACCATTGTGTAGGTGCAACCTTAGCAGCACCAGGTATTATGGGAATAATAACTTCATATTGCCTGGTGACAGAATTTTTTGTGTTGTAAAACAATACTGAGTTTTCTTAACTCATACTGATGACTCATCCTTAGCCTGGCATCTGTATAAATCCCATGTGTTTGGGGTTTTTATTGTTGGTTTGTTTGTTCTGTTTTGTTGGTTTTTCTGAGAATATTTATTATTCTACCTGTTTTTTCTTAGCATGTTAAAAAATCTGCAGTTACTCCTCTTCAGTTTCACAACTCTGCTGTTCTCGTGAAAGTATTGGTCCAATCCTCAAGTTTATTGAGATCACCTTGTGTAAAAGGTTGCCACTAATTTTTTTCTGATTCTGAACAGGTTTGTTTTTAAACACACAGAGTATTCAGAAGCTGCAGATTACAAACTGAGAGTTTTCACAAGGACACAATAACGTTCTTGTTGTTATTATGATCATGGTTACATAATTTTAAAAATACCTGAGGTGGAAGGAGTGGTAATCTGATATAAGCAAGCAGCATACTTAGGTCATTGCATCGCCTCTGCATATCATATTTCACCCACATCATTAAGGCATGGAAAATGGTCTCTTCATCAGGAACATTCACATCATCACTGGCAAGAAGTTTATGGAGTTCTTCCGCAGGTAGAAGTAAAAATTCTTGATTTCTTATAACTTCCATTATATTCTCCTGAGAAAAGAAAAATATTTCAGATTCAGTAATACTAGAAGAAAATTAAAAACCATATTAAAGCTAATAAACCATAGGATTAGTCAATATCTGCCATACCCACATATGGGTATGTTTTGCCATATCCTTGCAGCTCATGAGAACAACAAAACATAAATTATTAGAGTTCAACAGCTATACTTGCAATTAATATATAAATATATTTCAAAAACAATATGAGGATTATATGAAAATATCATAATTAAAAATGGTCAGAATTAGTAAAGGCTATTGTTTGAAATTTTTATAAACTCAGTTGTAATTGAGTTTATATTGTAAGTCTTAACATAGTCATACTATGAGTATGTAATATATAAAGTAAGTCTTTACATACTCATACTACATTTTCCTGGATATCTTCACTGTCTTTCTTTCACTATTTCTTAAATAGCTTGTCAGTCATGTAGTTGTATTATGAATATCTAGATTTCTGTCTACACATATCACAAGGCTGAGGGGAACATCAAGATAATCAATTACAGATTATTTTTTGGCATTGTTCAGAAGAGATTTTTAATATCTAGTTATCATGCAAATAGTTTACAGCAATAAAGATCTCACAGTATTGAAAACTATTGTTGTGGTTTAGGAACTGTTAGTTCCTGAAACAAACTGCCCTAGTTCAGTGCCCCCACTGAGACTCTCCAAATCATTGACACTTTCTTGCTCTCCTGCTTCTCCCCTCACCCTTCCACACTGCAGTGGGCTGGAGAGGAAAATTGGAGGCATAAAAGTTAAAGCTCATTGGTTGAGATAGGAACTATTTGCAGGAAACAGCAATGAGGTAAGGAAACAAGGAGTAACAGGAACCATACTAATGACAGATACAAGAAAAGAAACGATTCCCACAGAAGCACAGCCCTCACACCCACTCCCCCCATCCCCAACAGACAACACCAGATGGATCCCTCTGTCGCATTTACTCGACCAGAAAGAATCCCTGGAAGAGACCTTTCTCCTCCCTTCCATCAATGACATCAGGTTTTGCAGACTAACCTCTGTGTCCTAGTTATGCCTCACTCCTGGCTACTTCAAAAAAAATTGGACAGAATCAGGACAAATAAAAATAGTAATAACTAAAAACCTTTAAATAAAACCCCTATAAACTACATTAAAAACCTAAAACCAAACAAAAAAACAACAAACAAGCCCTCAAAAAAAGTATTGCATTTAGTTGTCTGAATCCTAAGGACTGAATTAAACCCTCCTGAACTTCCTACTCTACATCAAAAGGACACAGTAGAATCATAATTCTACAGATATGTTTTCTCCAAATATTTCTTTTAGGGTGTTTTATCTCCATGGAGAAATTGTGTTTTCATATTCTCAATTTATAGACAGAAAGAAAGTGAAGTAATTGAAGACTGGAGGTGCAAAAAAAAAACCAAACTAACTAAATTTTTATGTAAACTGAAAATGCAAAAAGCAGTATTGGGAACAGTAAGTTGCAACATCTAATTTATGAAAAATTATAATTAATTTTGTTATGCTGTTTTGGATAGAATTTTTAAGATGAGAAGTGGGAAAGAATGACAAAACATCAGTCAAGGAGGACTTAAATGTAAGAACATCAAAACTGAGGGAAATGGATTATTCCACTGTTGTACCCTCTAAATTCAGTTTTTAGCATATCAAAATCCAACCAATGTTGTCTATTGTGTCTCAGCCAGGGGAAAGACTGACTGGTCATCAAAACCGAAATAGAAGACATTAAAACAAAATCAAGAAAATAATATGCAAGACTTACAACAACAGAAGTATACTCGGACTCTAGTATGTCACATGCTGTCCTTCCCTGACTTATTCAATAAAAGGAAACTCTTATTTTAATTCTCCAAATTCATACTTTTTGAAATGTACTGTTTAAACATATTTATTAAAAATTAACTGCATATTATTTTAGATATGGCAGCAGAAATGAATATTGCAGACAGAGACATGACAAAATCATGAGATAGAAGTTTCTTGAAATTTGTAATGTAATTACAGATAAAATACATAAGCACAGATAGAATAAATTTGACAAAGTTGAAAATTATGTTTATGATTATAACTGTGAATTGTTTGATATGTACAACTTAACTCAATGTGTTGCTTTTTAACTCAACATATATAGGATGCTGACACAACAGAAAATGAAAGATGTAAATGTGGTCATGACCTAGATTGACCATACTGTTATGCTACCTTAACATAATTGATAATTGGATCAAAACATGACTCAACTATTTTTAAAATTGCTACATTAAATGTCAATAGGTCCCTAAAAATGTAGGTTTTTCTGGAATGAGGTTTTAAACCATTACCTCGTGATAAAGTTTAAATTGTGTGTCTAGAGCATTTTAGAATAGCTTGGAAATGTAAGGGAACTAGTTTGCAGGGAGGCACTTAACCACAAGCTGGCTTAATTCATTTTAATTAAAAAGTCATAAAACTCACAAGATTTCATTGCACTTCTCCATAAAATCATTTATAAGACAAAGTTTAATTAAGCCTGGTTCAACTGACATTAAATCCCATTATAAAAAAAAAGAAATAACTCTACCTCTTAATAGGAACCAACATCAAACTTTGCAATAGCATAATTATCCAAAGACCTAATACTATAGAGTAGAATTGTGATGGTGGAACATTTCATGAACCCACAGAACTTAATTTATTAAGAGTAGAATTCCAAGCAGGAGTTTTAACTTCAGAACAATAATTTTAGATTTGATAAGGGTTTCTTTTGGTCATCTTAAATTGTATTTTATCAGCATACATGCTTAAAGAGAACTTATTCCAGTCTCTGTACTGATTGCAGAATCAAACAAAGTTTTCAGACAAAACATATAAGCTCAAATCTCTTTTTCTAAACATCTGGACTTACATGAATTTCATGTTAGGTGGGCATGAGTATTTCAGACAATAAAAATATAGATTATGTTTTATATCTATAATATGCCATATATATTATAAATATACCATATGTATTCTTATATATAATATAAATGTAATATATATAATTCTGATTTATATATAGAATCCAGGTTTTGATCTTCCGACGTAAAAACTCTTTCCTTCAACTTATTAGCATTTCCTGAACTGACTAATGAATTTTAAATCTTCCTAGATAATATTTTAACTCCTTGAGGTTTGTTTCATCTGGAGCAGCAAAGCATATTTCAATGGCTAGCTGTTCTACCACAAAAATTTCTCATATGCTCATTGTGGGAAAATATCCTTTTTTTTTATATATGACTAGTCTTCTTTTTTGCACTTAAGGGAAGAGGATTCAACAGATATATGTAATATCTTTTCAGGATATATTAAATAAATTTTAAATTCCCCTGATATTAAGATGCAAGGTAGGAATTGAGGTACACAGTTATGCAATCACAGACTCATTACAGATGGAAAAGACCTAAGGTCAGCTAGTTCAATCTTTAATCAAACACTGCCATCTTCGCCACTAAAACATGTCCCAGGTTCTATCCCCAGGTCCCATCCCCGAATCTAGATGTTTTTTGAATACTTCCCGGGAAGGTGATTCCACACTATGATCACCCCTTCAGTGAAGAAATTTTTCCTAATATCCAACGGCATTTTCCCTTGGCACAAGTGGAGGCCATTTCCTCTCATCCTGCTCTAGTGAAGTGCTCTCAGGAATGCCTAGGGCTTCATGGGAAGATAAACCTTTATTATGGGAACCAGGGTACTGAACCTTTAAGCATGCCAAAGATTATGTGACAGAGTTGGATGAGCGTCCAGGACCTGTAATTTTTGACTCTAACACTTTAAGAGGCTTTGTGGATAGGTCTTCACCATCTCATAAGTCTTATAAGATGCACTGGATCTGCTCTGCATGCATCATTCACGTAGCCTTTCCATGTTTTAATTAAGTGGAGTAGTAGATTGCTATTTTTAATTCAGAAAATGTAACTTAGAGTAGAAAGTATGACAGTCTCTGAACCCACCTGGACAAAGCTGTGTCACTTGATTGCTCTTCCACTTTCTAAAAATGACTATGCAGTAACCATTGCTGTGGGGCTATAGCATTTCAATGGCAGAGCTGCTTCACTTTTAAACCTTTTCAGCAGTACACAAGGTTAGCCTTAAATAAGCATAAAATATTAGAACAGCAGAGCCATGTAAACAAAACATATCTATGTTTAATGGTAGACAGGCAATCGCCCAAGTGTCTAGTAGATTGTGCATCATAGGAACATTAAGGCGCTAATAAAATTAAACTATTACCAAATGGAATTTAATGCCATATATCTTTATAATGATGACACCAACACAATTAAATTAGATTTTTTTTTTTAATCTTAACTTGTAATGATTATTATTCCACATGGAATCAAATTATCTTGCAAAAGCTAGTTTTCATTGATGGTTATGTCATTGATTTCACTAATCAGCATGTATCAGCTATAATTAAGAACCTGAAAAATATTAAATCATTTCATTTGACAAAGAATGTCATATTCTGAGAGTGCTATTCAGAACCTGTTACATCAGAGTTACCAAGGAAGTAAAATGCTCAGTGGTGTTTTGGTTTTGGGTGTAGGTATCTTATTTAAAATGTTTTATATTTTTGTGATTTGGATGCTGTGACCTTAACAATTAAAAAATTAAAATCACATCAACTCATGCCAAAAAATAGATATCCATATACTAGGCTTTCATTTATTACATACCTAATGTCTATAATATTTTAAGCTCATATTACTTTCAGTTTAGAACTTAAGTTTTCATGAGAATATTTAAATAAATGAATAAATAGTGCATCTGATTTTAATATTAAATCATACTGGCAGTATACCTTCTGAAGTGATAAGACATGAAAGAAAATTTTGATTTTGGTCAATTCCCAAGTTATTTCGGTCTGGAATTATTGCTGCTGTGCTACACTGAATTCACATCTCTTGTTCTTATGCCACATTTTCTCTATCAGGTGTGTTTCATATAAGACTACA